AACACATGCTATATCTACCCCGATTGGAGTGCAAGCGTTGGTCATGATCAAAGTACATCACTCTGCACATGTACTACGTATTAACCTCAAGTCAGAGAACTATTACACTACTCTATACACCGATAATCCCATAGACACATGAATAGAACTTATCAAATGGTTTCTCTGTGGGTATGCCAATATTCTCTAAATTATCTATGTGACCATCATGAATTACAGGAACTCATAGTTGTGAGATCAACTATACTTTCTAAAAGTATGATGCAGTCCACATACCAATCTTATCGCATATAATCAATATTCCATTCTTGATGATCATTGATTGAGGCTATTTTAGGACCTTATGTTATATCATATAAGCTCCCACTTACTTATTGACAACATAAGTCCAATGGAACACAATTATGAATAAGATATTGACAATCAAAATACTTAATCATCAATGTGTAATACCGTATATATCAAATATATAAAACTCAAATGTGATCAAGTACATATATCTCTAAAAGGTGATTGTCTCTAGGACATATATACTAACAATATGTTTAAGCTAAATGGAGCTACAATATCCTGGAGTTCAAGGAAACAATCACAAGTTTCCTTATCTACTTGTGAGGGTGAGTATGTGGCTGCAGCCTATGTAGCATGTCAAGGTGTATGACTGAGAGCATTGTTGGAAGAAGTTCTTGGGGAAGAGCAGAAACCTTTTCAACTTCTGGTGGATAACAAATCAATTACAAATCTTGCACTAAATCCAGTGGCTCATGGAAGGAGAAAACATATAAAACCTAAGTATCATTGGCTAAGGGAGAAAGTCAGAGAAGGGAAACTTATTCTTATATATTGCAATAGTGAGGAACAAGTTTCAGATGTATTTACTAAAACACTTCAATTTGACAAGTTCAGAAGTTTTTGGGAAAAACTTGGAGTTCAAGCAATACTTTGTTGAAGAGATTTGTGTTGAGTTTTGTGTGGGAGTTTGAATTAAGGGAGGATGTTTAAGTGTAATTCAAATGTGTGTGTTAGTGATATTGTGTGTGATGGTGTAGTGAATAATGTGCATGTGACTACTCTTATAAATAGAATAGTACATGTATGGTGTTGGTGTGCAGACTTTGATCATTAATAATAATCTCCCTCTTTCCTCTCTAACTGTGAGTTAGTTAATACTCTAACCGTTTTTGTGCTATCAACTATGAAGCAACATACTTGACTTTTTTTAATTTTTGACACCCATTTCCAGAGTTATAACCCTCAATATCTACTTTTGGCTAAACAAAGGACATCTGTGTGGTTTTTATTCTGTTCTTAAACAGATTCTCATAATCACATACGTAAAACAAGAGTAAGGTAAAATAACATTTATCATACATTAGTCAAATTATCATAAAAACACTAGTCTAACTAGCTAGGTATTCCTATTGTCCAACATATTATAATATCAATACGATAGCCTGTTTGTTCTCTTCCTTGCACCATGAGAGCTCGTAGAAGGTACTCTGTCCATGGGTGGTGGCGTTTTCAATGGGAGCTCCGGGTGGGGGGTCCCGATGCAGATCTTTCAGGCGGCCATAACTTCACCACTACTTTGTTATGGATCTTTGGCTGGGCCACAGCCTTAGGTCTAGAGTTTGCAGCCACCGGCGAGCTCGTCGTCTGAAAACGGAGAAAATATTACTTTGGTACGCTTTCCTTTGTTCATCAACCCGTCTTGAGGAGGATGTTATTGATTTCAAATAAGCTCTATTCCTTTGGGTTTCTAGCCTTGCGATATTCTGGCCTGGGGGATTGAGCTTCAAAAAGTGCCAGTAGGATGTATATCAGAGAAGATGACCGGTTTTTGGACTAGGGATTTGTTTCTGTTTTCCCGGCTACTGTCTTACCACCCTCCGACGCCTTCTACCGTCGCCGTTGGTGGTCACTAGGGCTCAACGGGGATGGGGGTGGGGGGAGATCGGTTTTGGCTTGGGTATCGTTCTGGCTAGACTCTCTTGCCCCACCAATGCCACCGGGAAGGCGTCGGAGCCTGGTGGGGGAGGGGTGCGACCGACTTCACGTGGATGCTGACTGATGAACAGTCATCGCGGTTAATGGTCATTTTTTAAATTTTGGTAAGATACCACGTAATGGTGTGGCACTGTAGAAGAAAATGTTGTTGGGCCGAGCGTGTTGGGACAACCCGGGAACCTGACCAAACCCTAGCCCGCTAGGATTAGGCTAAGGAACTCTGGGCTGCTGCACTGGGCTTGGTTGGAGACTCCTGCTGATGCGGATGGCTGAAGCTCATTGATTGGACTGGAGGCCAAAACGCTGGGATCCGTGAGTTTTGTTTGGATTTTGCTAGGGACGGGTCTTCATTGGCCCAAACTAGTTTGGATTTGTTTTTTTTATGAATGAGCTGAGGCTTGTCCCGTGCCATTCTTGAACTGTTTTGTGGTGTCGTTTGGACTTCTAAAATATATCTCTCCTTACCCCTGCCGCAAGGTGGGGGTGGGGGCGGATACGGTGGATAATATATCAGGTTATCGTGCTAGCTTAGATAGTTCTTTTTTTGATACTTTTTGATGCACTGTATTATGCTGTTTTTTGGATATATATATATATATTTACATTTTATCCAAAAAATACGTTAGTCATATGACTTACTGTTAAACCTAACAATGTTAAATAAAAAATTAGATGACAATTACACATCTTGATACTGCTATGTAACTTGAACCAAACAATCCTTCAATTATTGGTTATTTTAGTACAATATAAAGAAAATGTGATGACTTTGTGGAACTAAAATCTCTATTATATAGACTGATTGATGTTGAGCAATGAAGACATGATCATGAAACTAAATTTGAAGAGGTTAATTTCTATCATTCTAATTACACGAAGGTTAGGTGACAATTATGTACGTAGACAATTATGATACAATACTCTTGATAGTTTGTACAACTATCCCTTCACATTTACCCCTTAATTTACTTTGTCGACATAATGGTTAGAAATATCATTTGGGAGAAATGGGAAACCACACCGATGAATCCTCTCTCTCTTTCTCTCATCTTGACCAGAAACCCTTCCTCTCAATCGACTTCTAGTAAACCCTTTGTCAGTTTATCACTCAACGATTGAATCTCTAGCAACAAGTAATCCTCAATCAACCAAAACCCCAAAATAGGAGATAAATTGTTCGCAGCACATGTATGCTTTTTATTTGTTGGAACTTGATGATACATGTGATTAGATGTTCAGTTTCCCATACTCACCACAACAAGAACTGTCTATTGCAGGTCAAATCATTTATGTTGTTGCTCTTATTTATGCTATATCACTTATAAGAAGAGTATTGATGTTAATTTATTTAAGATTGAATATCAAGAAAATTGATATGGTTGGGATATAAACAACCTTCACAATTATAAAATAAGAATGCAGATATCAATAATTATGACATCTAACAAAGGGATCTAATGAACACATGTAGTATGCATCAGGGAAACAAATTCATGGTAGTGATCTCGTGGTTTTGAAGATATCTTGTTTGTAGATCTAAATTGACATTACCTCATTCTCATCAAATCTTTCTTAGTATGGGTTTTTACAATCAATTAGTTTGTAATTAACTACTTTGACATGTAATCTTTTTAGGATGCATGTTTGTGATATCGGTAAAAGTAATATAGGTGTTGCAAGGACTTCACCTTCCTTCAAAGTAACTTTATCTCCCCATCAATATGATCATTAACCAAACATTGACTTTAATCTCCTATGTCACCTAAGTTTTATGTTGGCAAATAGAAAAACAGGTGACTAGCCATAATAATGGACCTCTCAACCTTTTAATGCGCCAATTGTAACAGATCCTCAGTGGTACACCTTTCTTTAAACTTGGGGGCTCATGATGCTTCTAATCATTTCCAAGGGTGTGTCTTTACAGAATTTCATCATACCTCTTGCAACTATGGTTTGAGTCAAAGCATTGACATTCAAGTGTGTCGAAGATAGTGGAAATAAGGGGAGGTTTGCCTGGTTAAATATTGAGCACCACTTCTTTCAAAATGTTCACCGATTGGCCCACCACATAAGTTATCTCCACGATGCACATGTATTGACTGCGATGATGTAATGACAGTGGACGCTGGTGCAAATTTGGATATTCCTTAAACGTCTGGTTTTAATCTTGATTTAAAGGTTGTACATTCTTGAAGTATTTTCACTCTCTCTTTGTCAATGAAAGTGTCAGTGATAACTTAAAATAAAAATAATGTATACGTAGTAGCAATAATAATAATAGTAACAATAATAAAGACAAAAGGCGAAAGAATGTAACATATAGTAAGCACATATATTTGACATCATAAAAATGGCATCCATAGATCTAAGTTGGGGGAAGGATATTTGTACACAATATTCCTTATACAACAACGCCTCAAAATTAGGTTGTTTCAAGATTTATAAATATTGACAATGGCACTAGTTATTATTCTCATCAATCTTAGTGGTGCTTTGATTATGAGAGCTTTGGTTAGAACAATGGAATTCACTGAGGGGGTCTTGATGCCATCCGTACTATATACTTCTAAGGAAACTAACTTTTTTAGGTGAGTGTCCTGGACGTGGTATACCATATGGCCTAACGGTTTTACTTGGATGGCTATATATAGGATATCTAACATGTACTTGAAGTGTTCAACATGTACTCGTGTTGGTGTGAAATAATCCTATCTCTATGTCTAACCGACCACTCTATGCATCAGGAAATTAGTTTGATGATAGTGTGTCATAGGCATAGGGCGCCGGTGCAGTTAAGTACAAAACCACCCAAGCAGTGACGTGTACTATTGAACCCTATCACTATTCGTATGGTATGAATATTGGCTAGATATACCTCCTTCCATATACGTACATATTGGAATAGCTACTTTAGTGTGCTTTTTACGTTTTAATGTGTGCCTTTGAGCTTATGTTCTAGTGCAAAATGAGTCTTCCAATCCGCATCAATAAAAGTTATGTGTCCTTTTCCTGTAAGCCTATCAAAATATAACCTAAAACAACCTTGTGATTTACTTCTAGAGTTTCAACATTCAAACAATTGCTATTTGAGAAGATTACCCCTTTTTATGAGAAGATTACTTAAATCAGAGTAACAACTAACCCATTTCTTTTAACAGATCCGCAATTATTTTCATCTTAAAACATGACGTACATTCTTACAAGAAAAACTTTGCTATTTTTAATAAGCCATAGTTATTATAAGTAAAAAAAATTAGTCATGTTTTAGAATTTTGTCATGATTTTATCCTATTTTAGACAAATTCATTTGCTTTAGGTATTAAAATCTTAGGGCAGCCCAACACCTATCCGACCTCGTCTGGCCACTTCACTGGATCAGACCCGGATGAATTAAACCATGAGTAGGACGTACTGTAAAAAAATTACTCACTATATAAAAGAACTTAAAACAACAAATTCATTGATTTTCTAAAATTGGATATGGCATGAATATTTTTCTAATAAAGTATTTCATGAACGTCCTAATACTTTCGAGAGATGCAATGTGGCTTTTTCCAACCTTGGCTCGTTGTCCTCGAGGCTAAAGACGGTGAGAGAGAGTGCACCGAAAGCAATTTCCATCTTGTTTGATTTCTCTCATTTCTCTGCTGACTCCTTGCAAAATCAAAGTAAGTTCATCACTTTGCCAAAAAGTTAAAGAATTTATGCAATGCAATGTATAATCGTGTGTGTTATTTACCTTCAATTTCAATCCCCCCGTTTGAAGAGATTAATTGTGGAAGTTGGCATCTAATTTGAACTCTTTTGCATCACTGATATGTCAAAACTTGATGCTTTCATTATGTATCTGCATCTGGTATCAACTTATGGAGATAGATAACAATCCGAATGCTGGTTTTGTAGATTAATGATTTGAGCTGACGTATTAAAGGTTGAATCTTTGATATATGCAGATATGTTTTCTTGATGTAAAATATTTTTAGTCTTTAAAGCTTATGAGAGAAATGAGAATGAAATCCAATCGTCAATTTTCTCAATCTGATGGTCTAGAAACATTCGAAAAAGGAGAAAACGGTGCATCAATTTTGATGGTTCAATTAGTATATAAGGAAATCTTCATCGTAACATTTACTAAAGGGCATAAGAGTAAAAGTGATTCTGGTTGTTACCTACATGATACACCCAAATTAGGATAATCATTAATGAGTATGTAACACCCACATAATTAGGATCATTTATTCTAATAAATACTTCCAATTATTTAATTTTCTTTCCAAATTTATTATTCTCTCATATTTCTGGATATCTAATTTGTAGAAATATTTTTATTTGAATTCTAAATTATTTTTCATACTTAACCTATTCCTTTGAGATGCCATACTCCATCAGTCGAACATACATAAGTTTGTCAATTTGCATTCAACCATTAAATTGCTGCACTTTTTGTTCAAAATTTTGTGCAACCACAATTTAATTAGATATTTGATTTTCTTTAACATATAGTAATCTAAATAATCAATACCACTCATGAATGGAACAAATAATGAGATAAATTAGATTTTTATTACAATTATATGCACTTTTTTTCAAACGACACGTTTATGTGATTGGCTTGCACTTTCTATAACATTATCCTACACTTTATGTATGCACCTTTGCATTTCCATACATTCTTTAATTTTAAATCAAAATGATTTTACAAAAACAAAAGTAGAGATACAAGGGTGTGAACTAACAACAATCTTGTGCATTTTAAATAAATACAAAAGTGCACTAGCTATTATGGAGTATACCACAGTTTTTGATGTTCTACATTGACACTCTTCTACAAAATTAAATGCACTTTTATCATGTACAATCTAAATACATATAAAAGTGCACTATTACATTACATTTTCTTAAAATTTACATTGCACATTTTATAAAATGATATGCACTTTCGTTGATTGTCTTATGCAAATTTTGATTCACATTTTTACAAAATACAATGCATTAGTTTCACTTTTATGGTACACTATTAGACTATCTCCAATGCTACAATGTGCACGGTGCACCTGTGACACGAGAGATAGCCACATAAATATTAGTAAATTAATTCTTTATCTCCTTATTTGAATGATTTTATGCAGTTTTGGTAAGTTTTTCTCCACAATTTAAGGAGACCGTCTAGATGTTGACATTGCAGTTGACAATGCGGGGGAAAACTTACCAAAATTGTATACTATCATTCAAATATGGAGAGAGAAAATTTATTTGCTAATATTTATGTGGTTATCTTTCATGTCACATGTGCACCGTGCACACTATAGCACTGGAGATGCTCTTAGCATCCCGTGATGGTAGACCAGCATAGTCCATTGCATGTTTTCCTTGTCTATCACCTACATGATAGATAAGTAAAATTACAATGCATATATTAATTTGCTCAATAATTTACCTAGCATTGCACTATTATTGGATGTAGAAGCAACACGTTAGACAAAATTTGAAATCCTCAAATCATAAAAAACACTGAAAGAACATACCAAGTTCAATATTTACATCTATCCAAAAATTTGATGGTGTAAGTTGATAGGAAATAGAACACGATATTTGTAAGGAAAAGCTTTTTAATCACATAAATAGTTGTGATTACAACGAAGAATGATAAATAAGATGGCCAAAAAATAGCAAAACAAAACTGATGGAGTATATGGCCCGGGAACACCCGGCCCATAGACTCCTACTACACCAACGAAGGCCCAACAGGCCCAGGAGGCCCACCAGGCCCAAATCACGGCGTCCAGATTACCAAGCAGCCCGTAATACGCACCAGGGGTGCCCTCGGCCCCTTGGCCGAAGGCTCTAAACTCTCACAGAATGGGTTTTCCGGGCAAACTAAGAAACTGGGAGAAAACGGCGAAAACAGTAGCCCTCGGCACTATGAGCCCTCGGCACCAGGGTGCCATCGGTTTGAGGAGCCCTCGGCTACTGCTCTATAGCCGAAGGCATCTCACTCGACAAGATATCCGCCTCACATGCGTACATATCACCGTACCCCGCACAGACGTCCCATCCAACAGCCGCATTAAATGCGGCCACATGCGGCTGCCAGCGCCAACCAGTTGAGGTGACCCCTCGGCCAATGGGCGCTTGACACGTGTCCCTGTCCGGCATTTATTGCTACTATAAATAGCACCCCATTTCCCCGTTTGTAACCACGACATTCATACTGAATACACTCTCTCTCTACATTTACTTACTTGCTCTGACTTCTCTCTAGGTTATTCCCCGCAATAACCCTTCGGATATATACCCCCGGGTAGACTATCCATCATTTGGTGCTCTCGTTGAGAGGTCGAACAATCAAGTAAGAAACCCTCCCCCTTCGCCAAACACTAGCCCTCTACCAAAAATGGTGAGAACAACACGTGCCAACTCAAAGAACGTAGAAGACAAGAACCTGGCCCTCGGCAACGTCAACGCCCCCGAAGCCTCTCACAGGGCTCCCGAGGGCGGTGTCATCACTGGGCTGGAACAGGCGGCTGTCGACCTACGCCTTCAGATCCAACAAAATGCCCCCGATGCCCGCCTCGGCATCGAGGCCAAGAAGAAAAACCGGAGCGATGACCAAGTCAGCCCTCCGGTTCTCACCATCGACGTGCAATCGGCGCTCTCCGCCTTCATCCAAAGGCTCACACAGAACCCGGGTGCCTTCGGCACACTGGCTCCGGCTCACCCCCAGGTTGGGGAAAACATCATACTTCCCCCTCCGCCACACCCCTTCGGAAATCCCACCCCTCGGGTAAGGAACGACGAAGGGGTAGTGACCCAGGACACATCCTCCCAGGAAGTACAGTCCCGGGACCGCCACAATGACAACAGGGAGAGGCCCCGCACTTCCGCCCTCAACCGGCTCGGAGGAGGGCCAGACCGCCGAGGGGTCCAAGACCGCCTCGGAGGAAAGGCACTCCAAAGGCCCCAGGAAAGTGGAGGGTCTGTCTCGAGGGCAGACGAGGAGCGTCCCCCTCGGGACAAAGGCAAGGCACCCCTTCATGCCAATGATGCTCGCCACCAAATCAACCAGGCCCACTCGGCCCGGGTTCGTTCGCAGGGGGCGGAGACCCTCCCGAAAGATCCCCGGGACGAGATTATTGCGGCCCTCCAACGCCGGCTTGACGAAATGGAGTCCAACAAAGCTCACGCCACCACCTCCACCCCTCACTCAGACCTCAAATACGAGGCCATGATGGCCAAAATGGAGGAATTACAGAAGAAGGTGGCCGAGGGCTCCGGGGAACCCGTCATCCAGCTCCGGACTCGGACGCCATTTACCCCAAGGGTATTGGCGGACCGGATCCCGGAAAAATACCGAGCGCAACACATACAGCCCTACAACGGAAAAACGGACCCCCAGGAACACTACAACAAATACCAGAACAGCATGATGATGGTAGGGGCGTCAGACGAATATTTGTGTCGTTGGTTCCTCTCCACCTTAGAGGGGCCGACATACGAATGGTTCAACAGGCTGCCCGAGGGCTGCATTGATTCGTGGCAGGAACTCGCCCAGCGATTCTTGACACAATTTGCCGGGAGGCGTCGCACGAGGAAGCACTTCTCCCACCTCCTAACTATACGCCAGAAGAGGGATGAGACCCTTCGGGACTTCCTAGAGTGCTGGAGGACGGAGGCCGATAAAGTCGACGGTGCTGATGACGGGACCCTCCTAGCCCTCCTTCAAACCGTCCTCCGCACCGGCAACTTTTCAAGGAGCCTCATCATTGAACCCCCCCGCGACTACATAAGGGCTTTGCAGCGGGGGGACCGATATGCTGAGGCCGAGGAGGTGGAGAAGTATCACCAGCATCCGGACCAGCAGCCCCCGAGGACTGACTACAAGCATAACCGAGGGCCGGGGGCTCCCCCAAATCACCCCAAACCTTCAGGACCCTCTGATGACCGCCCTCGGCAAGGCCAAGCCAAGCCCGGGGGAGGTTATAAGAGCAACCCTAAGACTTGGGCACAGCCCATTCTCCTGGATCGCCCTCGAACACCATTGACGCACCCCGTCAGCATCATCCTCGATTTTGCCGAGGAGAGGTGTAATACCCAAGATTAATTTAAGAGGATTGATAGTACTACTCATACCAACAAGATGCATCTCCTTTTAAGGGAGCTCATCACCAAGAACTCTAAAGTTAAGCGTGCTTGCACGGGAGTAGTCTTGGGATGGGTGACCCCCTGGGAAGTTTCTCAGGGCGCGCACGAGTGAGGACAAAGTGCGCGGAAAAGGCTAGTGGCGGTTTGTGAGGACAGTACTAAAGGTCAGGAGTAACTACCTTGGGCCCTATGGGGCGGGGTGTTACATGTGGTATCAGAGCAACCCTGCGACAGTGTGTTGACCCGTTGGATATCGGGCGGGCACTTAGCGGGGCAAGATTCTGGGGTTTGATTGAGATAGTTAAGGGCGCAACGAGGACGTTGCGATCCTAAGTGGGGGTGATTGTAATACCCAAGATTAATTTAAGAGGATTGATAGTACTACTCAAACCAACAAGATGCATCTCCTTTTAAGGGAGCTCATCACCAAGAACTCTAAAGTTAAGCGTGCTTGCACGGGAGTAGTCTTGGGATGGGTGACCCCCTGGGAAGTTTCTCAGGGCGCGCACGAGTGAGGACAAAGTGC